CAAAAGCCTTTATATCGTTGTTTTCAGCTGTGTTTGGAGTTCGTCTTTCACAGAATTAATTATTTTTTGCTGTGATTTCCACACTTATCGCTGAATTTATCGCGCGATCTGCTTCCTGCACGTCTGTCTGACCGGAGCGGAGCAGAGGTGGTGTAAACTGGACTTGAAACGCACAGCTGGGACCTGCGCAGCGGAGCGGAGACGGAACACAAGTAATGTAAATTAGGGGTAAATGAGAGCTGTTGCTTTGTCAGACAAATTTATTTTAATTTGAAGCCTTATCAACACGGACTGGCTTCATTCACTTCCTCCACTGCCGTATGCTAAACTAACTAGCAGACACTGCGCAGAAAATCAACGTTGCTCTAAACTCCGCCTTCTGTTTGCTGACTGGACCAGGTGAAATAAACTACAAGCAGACACTGCGCAGAAAATTGACGTTCTGTTCTCTGATTGGCCCAGGTAAAATAAACTACAAGCAGACACTGCGCAGAAAATTGACGTTCTGTTCTCTGATTGGCCCAAATCAAATTCCCACAAAGAAATCCTTGTCTATGGAAGAAATCCCAGACGGAGCAGTGATGGGAAACTAGAATTCAGCGTAGCTGCATAGTAGGGTTGGGCAAATTGGCAAAAAAAAATAATCACGATTAATTGTGGTATTTAGCCGATAATGATTAATTTGACAATTAATCCCCTGGAGTACCTGACACACTTGTGTCAGGTACTCCAGGTACTAAGTGTACCTGAGTGTTGCTTTGACTCATTGAGAAATCCTTTACTTAAAACCACTTCACCTGAACTACTATTCGGAAACATACAAATGATACATTACAATTCTGATAACAATAATGATACAAAGAACTTCATTTGGAGCTGCCAAAACACACTGGCACAAAGCAGCTGAGCTCCCGGCCCACACAGCACCCCTGCCCCAAAGCATTGTTGTGAAGACGTGCTGAAGTGGGAATGTGGCAAACAGTAGGAGGTCCTTAAATAGACATAGGCCAATTTCAAATACTTAGATCAAAGTCAAATTTGTTTTTGATATATACAGTATTTTCATAACCACAGAAGGTATCAAAGTTACTGGACTGCTGTATGGAATTGTGTGCCTGGAAAATGCCTAACACCCCCCTTTAATGACGTAAAAGTCAGATGAAATGAAACGTGGCTGTTCACACTGCAGTGGCTCTGAAAACCACCAGGGGCCTCATGTATAAACGGTGCGTACGTATAAAAAAGTTACGTGCGCCAGGTTCTACGCCCACGTTGGGATGTATTAAAACCAACGTTGCGTGAAAGTCTGCGTATATTTACGCACACTTTTCACCTGCCATGAGAATGTGCGTCAGCCACGCAAAGTTTTTCAGCCGACAGTTTTAACTCAAAGTCACGAATCTGACTTGAATCCACAGAAATATGACTTTATTCTGTTTTCTGGATGTAAGGAGCGCCTGAACACGGTGTTAGATTTTTTTTTTATTGTTTAAACTCGCACAATCGTGAAACTGAACCCCGGGACTGAAAATCATTTAACCTCAGACAAGAAAATAGATCAGTCTAAAAACGATCAAAAGAACTTCAGTCCAAACTGTAAACTTTTTATATTGTCGTAGTTGGAAACACACGCAGAGCGCCTAGCCTGCGGAGCGCACACACAGCTGAGGAGAATAAAATGTGTGAATTGTCTAAGAAACATTTTTAATTTTCATTCAGAAAAAAACATTGTCAACTCAGAATATTCAGCTGTGATGATTCCTCAGCTCCACAACAGATTTATTGCTGCGTAAAGTTGTGCGTATGGATCAATCAGCTGTTCCCAGTCCCACACCGCAGCACGCATTCTCACTCCCCCCACGTCATATTGACGCTAGGGTTGGGCATAATCGTATCGTGTGCAATTAATCATCAGAAAAACATTAATCGATTAATTTTTGGCACTTGACAATTAATACGATTAATGCCACCCAGCAGACTAACTGCTTGGTGCTCCTCTCTGGTTCAAATATAACAAACATTTAAAAACGTTGTGTGATTTATTTATCTATCAACACAATTTAAAGTTTGATGTATAGCCTGAAGTCTGTGATTTTGACACAATTTGGAACAGATTTTTACGAAGAGCCAATTTTCTCCCTATAAATTGGTCATGTGACCAGGACATAAGGGTGTCCAGGGACTCCGGGGGATTAATCGTCAAATTAATCGTTATCGGCTAAATACCACAATTAATCGTGATTAATTTATTTGCCAATATTGCCCAACCCTAATTGACGCTTGGTCATGTAGTCTTTTGCGTCCAGCTTTGATGCGCCGGGTACCCCCCCCCGCGTCAGCTTTTTACGAGATGAGGCGGAGGAGGACAGGCGCGTTGTTCTATTTTTGTACAAGAGTAGGAAATGTGCGTTTCTTCACATCAACTTAATAAATATTTTTCTAAGTTCTACAAAAGTCATAAGTTTCTCTGTGTTTACAGTCATTTATTAAAGACGTGTAAAGGTGGAAATATTTCTCAGCCTCATGCGCCGCTGAAAATAACAGCACACACACACAACAAAACCCACACACACCTTTGCGAGTGGCAAACACATTTTTACACTCCATTACTTGTATAGACAATTTTGTCACTCATTCTGCATTTAATATATAATTTTTCTGTATCTAAAAATCATTTCTGAGGACAATCTGCGGAGAATCTCACACGCTGGGCACATTTACATCTATTTTACAAATTTAAATGGAGGCGTGGAGTCTCAGGTGCACTCAGTTCCACCTTCGTTGGGATGTATAAAGGTGCGCAGGAACCTGCATGCGCACTAGGGCTGCAACGATTAATCGATTAATCGACGACTAATTGATTATTAAAATAATCGATGACTAATTTAATAATCTAATCATTTTCATTTTTTGTTCTTTGTTTTTCTCTCCAAACTGCTTTGACACCTTCCACTGCCACATCTGCCTTTCTGTCCTTGACACACATGCACAGTAGTGGTAACTGGGGTAGGCCGTGGACGTCACAAGACATTATACAGACAGGCTCTGGAATCATGGCTACC